GAAAAAAAAAAAAAAAAAAAAAAAAAAAAAAAAAAAAGAAAATGCAGCAGAGACTATCCCCAGATGGTACTTTGTGAATGTACACATTTCAATATCTATTTTAATGACAAAAATAATACATGATAAAAGAAATAATATATATGGTAAAACACAGAAACACCTTGTATAAAATGAGAAGTAAATATTTCCTTTGAGCTCTGTCTCACCCATCACCTGCCCCACTCACCCCAGGGAGCCACATTTGAACCATTTCTACTTTTAGCAGAGATTTCCTCCAGAGGCCCACAGAGGTCTGGTGTATTGAGGTACAAGGTGCAGGAGCAGGCCCTGAGACCCCGTGGCAAAGGACGGTGCACCCAGCCCACTGGCTCTTTCTCCAGGCTCCTGTCCACTAGTTCTCTTTAGTTGTTTTTTTTTTTTTCCACTTTTATCACTACCACTCTAGTGCAAAACACAAGACACCACCGTCTCTCACCTATGTTACACCATTTAAAACAAAACCAACAAACGTTTTAACTCATACTTAGGTAGCATACATATTCATACCTATATTTCTGGCTTATCTGTAACTTTACTAGCTTGGAAACTCCATGACACGTCAGTATATTTCTCCAAGACCCCAAATAAACTATCAGGGATATACACAGACTCTCCAGCTAGCTAGGACCTTTGGAAGACCCTGTGTTTGAAAAACTTTCCACTTTATGTTTCCAGCTCAGAAATTTGCTTCCCCAGCCTCCCCAGACACAAATGCCAGCACGCATGCACGTGATCCAGGTTCTGCCAAGCAGATGTACAAGCATGGCACGTTGACCTGAAACAGAGTGGCACACAGAAGGAGCCAACACATGGAATCCATTCTGGTAAGGGTGATGCAAAGACACGGAGCTTTCAGAGGAACCTGTGGCAGTGACCCTAGCAGTAGCATCCAGTGCCCAGAGTTACAAGGACTGTGCCCAGCAATAGTAGCAGTGGGGGCAATAGGTTCTGAAGAGAGAACTAAACTGCATGAGAAGATGCTCAGTCAACTTCTTAAAAATGGAATGGGAGGCAAAAATTTCACAAGTGGTTGCTGGTTTGCAGTATTTCCACATGCAACATCACAAGATGTTATCTGCTAGCTGGTGCTGTAGCAGCCAGTAAGGCCGGCTATTTCTGAGTGCACGGTGATAGTAGTGAATCTCGTACTGTCAGCTCAGTGCCTTACTTCTTTGCTATAAAACTACTTCCATAGTCAGAACCATTGTTGTGTTTCTGACAGCAAAAAAGTCTCATTAAGTACATACATGGCATGGATGGCAGAAGCCTGGCTGAAAGAACAAAGCAAAATCTAGTTGATAACCAATGTAATCAACCACCACAAAACAGCTGGCTGTTGCCCCTGGTTATGGTGCCACACTGGGGATCAGGACTGATCACTACTGACAGTAAACTGAGTCCTCAGAAGAGGTGTAGCCAGAAGGAACTTACTAAGGGAGAGTCCATGTCGTCGAGCCATGCACATTCCTAGTGGCCACTCTGTTCATGAACCACTGAGCAGTTGCCAGGGGAAAACAAGCTGATGATAACAACAGAATGAGTCTTCTTTTATCTGAATACTGAAAAAGTCCTCAACAGTGAGGGCCTTTCGGGGGGCAATACTACCTTCGTGGCCTTCATGGCCCATTCTGAGCCATCATCCACATTCCTCTTCCTGAAATCTACCTGTCATTTATTTTTCAACCTAATTACTGCTAAATCTCTGACTTTGTGGCCAAAGCAGTAACCAGAGCCCCGTATCAGTGTAATTCCATACCTCTGGCCATTTTTCCTTCTGGGCAAAGAGGACTACAAGATGTACCATTAAAATTCTGCACTCAAGGGCTGGCCCGGTGGCGCACTGCTACAGTGCGCCGCTTGGAAGCGTGGCAGCGCTCCCGCTGAGGGTTTGGATCCCACGTATGGGCTGGCCGCTCGCTGGCTGAGCGAGGTGCGGGCGCGGTGCCGAGGGTTGCGATTCCGTTGCCGGTCCCGGTCCGGTGCGGCCACGACACTGAGGGTTGTGATCCGTTGCCGGTCACGAAAAAAGACAAAAAAAAAGGAAAAAAAAAAAAATTCTGCACTCAAGTTACTTCCCTTCCCCACTGCCATCACTCAGTGGGCTGTGCTGCTGGAGCTGTTCTCTTTGGGTTTGTGCCAGCGTATTGTTCAGGCCATTTATGGATTAGGTTCATATGTTTTCTTCCTCAGTCAATATCGCAGGGAGCCCTGGAGGTAAGCAACATGGGTTGAAGGGGGAATGGCAGTGGGGCAGGAGGCACCCAGGAGTGTGGGCTATATGTTTTCCAGAGGGTAACTAGATCTTTGAAGGGCTTGAGATAGGTGAGAAGATAACTCTTTGATTTTACTGAGTTCCCAAAAAGGTAAGTGCTACAATTTCATGTCACTCTGCCTTTGTTTTCTGATCTGGCAAATGGAATAAAAATTCTTTAATAGCTGTTTGGATAGTTGCTAATTATAAGGCAGGAACTGCCAATTTTTTCCTATACATCTTATCTCAGTAGACATGACTGCTAAGAACAAGAGACATAACACTTTTCTCTTCCATATCACTCACCATTTCCCGCTATAGTTTTCTGAGAGAATGGCTATCATTCTTTCCACTGATCCCAAAATGGCTCGATGAATGATCACAGGTCTCTTATCATCCCCATCCTTACTAAAAAATAAAAATTATACATTAAACTTTTTTCTTAAGATCAGATAATAACTTTATCTTCTTACCTTATATTTAATTTTGACCATAGATTTAGGTTAGTATTTTTGTATATCTCTCCATTAACATTATTTGAGTGACTGACTTGTTTTCTCAAAACAAAAGACTACTTTGCTAATTTTTTATTTTTAAAACTTTTTATTAGAGAACATTGAAAATATACACTAATGTAGACGGAATAGTATAATAAACTCCCACATACCCTCTCAGCTTCACAAAATGTCAACTCTCAGCTAATCTTATTTGATTTAAATACACCCCATTCCTGCCACTATCTCCCCCCTTTGTTAACCTCACTTTTCAAAATGTTCCTGATATTTGTTCTAGAAGTCCACCAGTCAAATGCCCTTTACAGACCTTGGGCCCTCATGACACGCATCTGACATTTAATGACACCCTCCTCTCCTTCAGGAAAAAAGGGAAATGCAAATGATGGCCATGAATTGTAATGAGGTAGGCATCCCAAGGTCTGTACAAGCATTTTCCAGAAGGATACATTTCACTTTACTGCAACTAATGCAATAGATAACAATTACAAAGTTCTTACAAGAAATTTTTTATCTAAAATTGTACCAGCTAATGACTACTAAAAAAAACACACACACAAAACAAACAAAAACAGAGACCCATTCGTTAAATCCATTTCAAATATTATAACTGGATATCATCACTGCCAATCATTTCTGCTCTGCTAAGAGCCATTATAGACTAACTTCAGGCAAAATCCTCTGTCTAGACCCCCCAGAAAGTTTAGGGTGGTGGTGGGCAGCTTGAGTCCAGTCCTGTGCAGATATATGAAGAAATCATTCATCTCACGAACTGACACTATATGAAATATTCCTGAACATTACATAACGTTGTTTTTGTGTCGGAAAGGAAAGAGAAGCAGGATAACCCTTTCATGGGCCGCTGGGTATCCACACATTTCTGTACCATCATTTATTTTAATCAGGTCTATACTTAAGTAGGGCAAATAGTGACATAAACTATGCTTACACATCTATGCTATCAGACAAACATGAGAATAAATGTCAAGCTTTCCCAAAATAATCCCAGTATATTTGGTTAGAATTATATTAGATTTATAGATAAACCTGAAGAGAATTAATACCTTTGCAATGTTGATTCTTCCCATTCCAACAGTATGGCATGAATCTTCATTTAAACAACTCTTTTTTTATGGCTTTTGATAAAATTTAATGGTGTATACTTTATATAAATATGACATTTATATTTATTGTTAAATTTATTCCTAGATATTTTTGTTGTTGTTGCTGTTGCTTCTGCAATTTTTTTCTTCCATTGCATTTCCTAACAGGTTATTACTAATATATATGAAAACAAAATGATTTTTCTTTTTTTTTTTTCCTTTTTGTCTTTTTTCGTGACCGGTAACGGGATCGCAACCCTCGGTCTCGCGCCCGTACCGCAACCGGCAACGGGATTGCAACCCTTGGTGTCGCGCCCGCACCGTGCTCAACCAATGAGCGGACCGGTCTCTATATGGGATCCGAACCCTCGGCGGGAGCGCCACTGCACTCCCGAGTGCCGCACTCTACCGAGTGCGCCACCAGGCCGGCCCACAAAATGATTTTTCTATTTCTACCTTGCTTTATTATTAGTTCCAATTTTTCTCCATTTCATTCTCCTGGATTTCTAGACATTTTCACATCTACAAATAATGATAATTTAATGTCTTTCTTTCAAATATTTGCACTCCAGAATAATTCTGAGTAACAGAACAAATAGTAGGCATATTCACTTTCTTCCTACGTTAAGATGCTATTGTTGTTTTCAGATAAATGTTTTTTATCATAATAAGGAGATTTCATTCCATTCACTTCACAGGAGTGAATGTTAAATTTTACCCAATGCCTTTCTGCACTGTAATGAGTGTGATAATGTGTGTGTAATGAGTGACAATAACACATTCTCAATGCCCAGCCTCCCTTGCTTTCTTAGGAAAAACCCTTACTTGATCATGGTGATGAACTTGATGCTTCTCTCTCTTCTCCCCTCAGAACTAAGCCTGAACAAACTGTATCAGTTCTTCCTCCAAAATACACCCTAAACACCTGCACTCTGTTCATCTGTTACTACCACCTGGTTCTGAGTTCCGTCACCTCTCATCTGCTCTACAGACCACTGCTTCCACTTTTGCTTCCATTTTCCACACAATCCCTAAGTCGGATGAATGGCTGGCTTGGCTGATCTGTTTCTCTCCCACATGCTTAAGAAATCAGAAAAATAAAAGCCAAATAAACCCAAAGCAAGCAAAAGGATGTAATAAAGAGCAGAAATCAGTAAAACTGAGAACAAAAACAATAGAGAAAATCAATGAAATTAATTAAGGTCTATGCAGTTGATAAATCTCTAGCCAAACTTACAAAGGAAAAAGAGAAAAGACATGTATTACTAATATTATGAATGAAAGGAGGTATCACTGCAGGACCCACAAAAATTAAAAGCATAATTCTATACATATAAATTTGACAACTTAGATGAAATGCATCAATTTGTTGAAAAGCACAAATTACCTGAACTTAACCAAGAAGAAATATACAACTTGAATATCCTCTATCTATTAGAGAAAATGAATTTAAAGCTTAAAATCTTCCCGAAAGGAAACCTCCAGTACTGAAGGGTTTCAATGGCAAATTCCACCAAAAATTTGAAGAAATAACACCAATACTACATAATCTCTGCCAGAATTCCCAACACATTTTATAAGGCCAGCATTACTCAGATACTAAAACCAGTCAAAAACAGTATAAGGAAAAAACCCCAAAACTACAGAGCAATATCCCACATGAACATACATGCAAACATTCTTTACAAACTATTAGGAGATCAAATCCATTAATATATAAAAACAATGACACATCACAACAAAGTAGGTTTTATCCCAGCAATACAAGGCTGGTTTCAATATTCTAAATCAATGCAATCCACCATATTAACAAGTAATGAAGAAAAATCACATGATCATAGAAATTGATGTATAAAAATAATTTAACAAAATTCCATACTCATTCATGATTAAAACTCTTAGAAAACTAGGAATAGAGGGGGAGTTCTTTAACTTGACAAAGAGCATCTACAAAAGACCTACAAATAACATTATACTTAATGGTGAAATACTGTATGCTTTCTTCCTAAGACTGGGTATAAGGCAAGAGTGTCCACTTGCAGCCGTCTTCTCTTATTTAATATAGTACTGATAGATCTTGGACATGGCCGGCACCATCTTGGATGCGGTCACATCACCTTGGATATGACTGATGTCATCATGGACGTGACTGGTGCCATACTGAGTACAAAATGGCCGCCAGTCTTTTACCCTACCTCGCAGTTTCTTCAAAGAAAAACCTCTACCTCATGGTTTCCCAGACAAAGGACCCTTCCCCTCCTACCTAGAGGTATCTCCCATCTTGACTGCGTCCCCCCTACCCACCACACCTGCACCAACAGTGGACCTGATCCCACACACCAACACTCCCTCCCCCTCCCCGCCTGCGTTTTTCGCGCCCACCAACCCATATAAGCATATGTACTCCTCCTAGCTGCCTGCCTCTGCCACTTTGAGCACAGCCTGGCAGGTTTTTCCTCCTTTAATAAAGCCTGAATGGTACCTGGCATTTTGGCTCATTTTCTTTCCTTTTGGTGTTGTAACCTGGGAAGGGTCTTGGCTGGACTGTCAGCCAATCCCCTCTCTTGGGTAGACTGGCTCTAGGCCACCCTTCCCGGACCTGCCGGACCGGGTGCCCCCAGGACTGTCTCGTTTTTGCCACTTCAGACCGACAAATCCACCATCAGCCTCATTTGGGGTGAGTTAGGGGAGTCCTTCCCATCTACTCTTATGGGTTTTCTCCATCCTCTGTCTACGACTATGGTCTCGCTCAAAAGACCAGGCACCTGGCCAAGAAGACCCTTCTCCTGCTCCAGTTACAGGGGATGCCCTCATACCAGTGGCTGCCCTCCGTCTGACGGTGCAGAACAACAACAGGGATGCCTCTTGTTATTCCCGCCCTTTCTACTGGGACTGGTCCTCTTTCTCACCCTCAGCATGGGATCCTCTCAGACCAAACCCCCCAATCTACTCCTCTGTGGTGCCTCATGGCTAATCTATGACCTCTCGGCCTACAAGGAGATATAAAACCCAAGTGGCTCCTTTTTTATTGTAATCAAGTCTGGCCTAGATATAAACCCGATAACGGATCCCAATGGCCAGAAAACAGCACCTTCAATCTGGCCACCCTAACAGATCTTGATAATTTCTGTCACAGAAGCGGCAAGGCAGGAGAGATTCCCTACCTTCAGGCTTTCTTCTATCTTCGGTCTCGCCCCTCCCTCTGTCAAACCTGTACTTCGTCCCAAATCCTCCGTGCCCACACTTGGCCTCCCCCATCAGATACCGACCCTCCCTTTGGTCCCTCAGACCACTCCACCCTCCGGGCCCCCCATATGCCTCCGGCCCCTCCCCAGCCCCGTCGCCTGCACCAACCCCTCCCACTTCACCACTCCGCACCCACTCTCGGGATGCCTCCTCTGCCCATCCAGCCCCTCCTGACCTGCCAGCCCCCTTGTATCCCCATTGCGAGGTTGCCGGTACGGAACGCATTGTTTGCGTCCATATACCCTTTTCTCTTTCTGACCTTTCCCAGATTGAAAAGCGTCTCGGATCTTTCCAAATGGACCCCGATACTTATGTAAAGGAATTTAAATACCTCTCACAATCCTATGACCTTACCTGGCATGATATTTTCAATGATTATTACAACTACCCTTTCACCTGAGGTTCGAGAAAGGTCTGGGTTGCAGCCCAACAATACACAGACAAGTCACATGCACAAAACAATAGATGGCCCACAGGTGTTGAAGCCGTCCCCCGTGTTGACCCCAATTGGAATTATCAGAGTGGACATGGGGACCATGACCTCTGA